GCAAGTCTTGGGACAGACTGAAAGGCTGGTGACCAAGTGACATACAGTATCCTTTAGACTAAACCATACTAAGTATCTGTACCAAATTAAGACCTAGTGAATGAGGTGGTACATGTCTTAATATTCCCACAAAAATACATTTTTAATACCCTGTTTTCCCGAAAATAAGACCTACCCCAAAAATAAGCCCTAGCAGGATTTCTATGCACTTGTGGTATAAGCCCTAGTGTGTCTTGAGAAAAAATAAATATAAGACAGTGTCTTATTTTCGGGGAAACACGGTAGCAGCCTGGTTGATGTTCACTAATTAAGCTCACATTAAGTCATTTCCCCCCAAATGAATGAATGATATAAACAATAGCAAAAGGTGTCTGACTGCCACTTCTGGCAATCCAGGACAAATGGGTAGGTAGAGGGTGTGCATGGAAGGATGAAAGCAAAAGAATGCTGTAAGTTACCACAGCTGAGTTCCGTACTTAACAGGTATTTTTGTTGCCTGACATCAGCTGTGTATCCTCAGCCAAAATGGAATCTGTGTGAGGAACATGTGGCCAGTGAGCTCATACAGTAACTATGAAGGGACATGAGACTTCACATTGCAATGACTGAAGAACAGCACATTGAAGCACAGTGTTTTGAAAATGGCCTTGTTGATGCTCAAAGTGAAACTAAAATGACTCTGGTCTACGGACTGACAGGCCTATAGGCAATCTGTTACACAACAATTCATGGTATATACTCTTCTTTTATATGAAAACAGCAATAGAGCTAAACTTAAGAACATCTGTCCTTCTGAAAGGAATATTCTAAAACCTACCCAACTGATATTGCAGTCTTGCTATTCCTTTCCTCATGAACTGGCTGGTTGAAAATTATAAACTTCTTTCTTTCAAAGGTGTATATGGGGAGGCACCACCACCACCTCCATCGGGTGCTTATTAATCAAATCCCAAGGTACAGATTTTATACCTGACTTTGCCCCAGGCCTTTGTACACACACCTGAGTCGTACAGCCATAGCTTTGTTTTCAAGCTCCGTCCTAGATCCTTTCCAGTCCAGCTTCTGTCCGGGGCATGGGACAGAGACGGTACTGGTCGCTCTGACTGACTACCTCCGTAGGCATTTGGATCGGGGCAGTGTGGCGGCACTATTGTTATTAGATCTGTCAGCCGCATTTGATACGGTCGACCACCAGTTGCTGACCCATCGCCTCGCCGACATAGGGATTCAGGGACTTGCCCTTCAGTGGCTTGCCTCTTTCCTACAAGGTCGGGGACAAAGGGTGGTGATAGGGGAACAGCAGTCCCAGAGACACCCCCCTTGAATGCGGGGTGCCCCAAGGGGCTGTATTATCCCCTATGTTGTTTAACATCTACATGTGCCCCCTTGCCCAGATTGCCCGGAGGTTTGGGCTTGGGTGCCATCAATATGCGGATGACACCCAGCTCTATCTGATGCTGGGCGGCCGGACTCCAGCCCAGAAGATCTGTACCAGGCATTGCAAGCTGTGGCTGGTTGGCTCCGACGGAGTCAGCTGAGGCTAAACCTGGCAAAGACGGAGGTCCTGGGTTTGAGTAGATGTGGTTTGGGGTTGGGGCTCCCGCTCCCGACCTTCGAGGGAGCACCTTTGGTGCCAGCGTCGGAGGTTAGGAGTTTGGGGGTGCTCCTGGACTCCACATTATCCATGGAGGCCCAGGTAGCAGCCACTGCCAAAGCAGCCTTTTACTATCTTTGGCTGGCTCGGCAGTTGGTTCCCTTTCTCGACCTAGGCGACCTAGCCACAGTGATCCATGTGACGGTCACCTCGAGGCTAGACCATTGTAACGCTCTCTACATGGGGCTGCCTTTGTCGCAAATCCGGAAGCTGCAGCTGGTGCAGAATGCTGCAGCCAGGCTGTTGATGGGCCTTCCTAGGGGGGCACACATCCAGCCTGTGCTGAAAGCGCTGCACTGGCTGCTGATAGCATACCGGATTCACTTCAAAGTGCTGGTTCTTACCTTTAAAGCCCTAGATGGC